AAACCTAAAAGCTTTTGCACAACAAAGGAAACTATAAGCAAGGTGAAAAGACAGCCCTCAGAATGGGAGAAAATAATAGCAAACGAAGCAATGTACTCCTTTTAAAACGCTCATCCAACTGAGTCATTCTCTATATGCAACTCAATAATCCTAGCAGCTGAAGTGCACACAAAACTAGTAGCTCCTGAGACATTTTAAGGTGTCGCTTGTTTTCTTTCATGAATGTGTTTCCCTTCTTGTTTACCAGCCATACTCTCATTCATTCTTTAAAACTCAATTGGAAATGATCTCTTCTAAGCAGTTCTCAGCTCCCCCTCCAAATTTATGTGTTCATTCCTTACTGTTCACACTATATACCTTGTAAATACTTTTACAATAATACTTGGATTGTATAAAACACTTTACTTTTGTTATCTCCCTCATTATAATGTAAAGCTTTTGATAGTATTTTTTTTTTCTTTTTTGGTACTCCAGCACTTAAAAGTTTTATGAATGATTTGGAAATTAAATTTAGTATGAGAAGCATCATTTTTGACCTGACTAAGCTGTGTAAACTACTGGAAAAGGGGTATATCATATACCATGAAAACATTGTTTTTAAACTAAGTTTAATATAATAAAATATCACTAATCAAAATAAAACCAGAAGAAAAGAATGGGCTGCCATTTATTCAAATATAGAGAATAGTTTTGTTTACAAAACTATACTGGTTAAAACCACAATCTCAGAGACAAGGGTTCCATGAGGATACAGTGTGATATTAAATCTGAAATTTTATCACATACTAAACAAAATTAATAAGGATAATAATTTTGTACTTATTATCTCCATGTTTTCCTTTTTAATCCTTTAATTTTCAAGTTTTTTCTCTTAGAATTCATTAAAAAATACAACCTAACCTGTGTTATTCATATATGTATTTTCTGCATCTCAAATGCATTGTTCTTTTAATAAAAATGACTCAGCATCTCAAATGCACTTTTCTTTGACTTCTCATTGAATACCTCCTTGATTAAAATGTTAAAAATAGCATTTAAATCTTAAACAATCTATGAGCAATGAAAATCAGCATGTATACCACTAGGGAAAGAGAACAGCTGGTGGGGAACGGACACTGAGCTCCTTGCGAGTCTCCCAAGGGCAGCGGGGTCCAGCAGAGCCTTCCTGCTGTAGACGACAGGGCAGGTGGCAGGGAGAGTGTCTAACAACAGCATCATCATCACACACCAGGCATGTTTCCAAGCATTTCACATGAATTAATTAATTGAATTATCACAATTCTATCAGTACTATTTATTATCACCCAAGGCCAGAGGTTAAGGACACTCACACACCCGCAAAAATAGGCACTGGATCTAGGATTAGAAACATGCAATTTGAGTGCACAGCCCAAGTTCTTAACCATGTTAAACTGCTGTCAGCTGCATTAGTGTGTTTGCAATTATGATATTTATTACTTGGGAAATGCATGTACAAACATTCAAATACATAATGATATTGCCTCATGTACCGCATTTTCAAATGAATTGAGAGTTCAGTCAGATAAAAGACAAAAAGAAAAATAATAATAACTACAAGAGAAAATCTGATAGGACTAGAATGCCATTTCCTCTAAGCATCAATAGCCAACCCATGTGAAGAATCCAGCATATGAAAAGGAGGCAGTATAACAGGTGTTTTAATAAAGAAGGTCAAGAATCACATATATTTTGATATACGTGTTTAACTGTATAGAAATGCTTCAAAGATTCATTTTCATTGAATGGTTAAGTAACTAACAGTACAGGTAACAAAGACAAACAACCTTGAATCTACACTTCTGTGTCTCTTTCACATCTCAAGCTATGAAAGAGGCTTTACAGGAGTTGATAGGCTCACCTCACAAATTCTAAATAAATTTTTCTCTTTCCCCATTATTTTATATTCATATAAGTGCATACAAATTTCCTATTACATATATTTTTGTAATAAATTGCAAATTTTATGATTTAGTAGTTTATAACTCTTCTAAGATGAAATTTGTTGTTAAAAATTCAATGGAGCTATGATAAAATAGCGATCTCATTACTGACTGCTTAATAAATAAGATCATCTTTTAACAAGGTTTTCTTGGTACTTCAGAAAATAATTAAAACCTTTCATGATACAGTAGAAAGAAACTAAAATAAATTCTAGATGAACCAAAGAATTACAAATTTAAAAAAACATTATGGAAAAGTCAGTAGAAAATCTATTTGAATATTTACTCAAATTCTAGAAGAATAACTTCTTAATCTGAGAAGTTATTTGGAAAAAAACAGACAACTAAGAACAGCTTTCTCATGTCAGAACATAACAAACAGAAATAAAAGGAAAGTAAATTAAGTGTAAATTAATTGCCAATTTTTACTTATTTTTATACTTTGGCCACCTCATGTGAAGAGCTGACTCATTGGAAAAGACCCTGATGCTGGGAGGGATTGGGGGCAGGAGGGGAAGGGGAAGACAGAGGATGAGATGGCTGGGTGGCATCACCGACTCGATGGACATGAGTTTGGGTAAACTCCAGGAGTTGGTGATGGACTGGGAGGCCTGGCGTGCTGCAATTCATGGGTCTGCAAACAGTCGGACACGACTGAGAGACTGAACAGAGCTGACTTATTTTTAGCAAAGATTTTTCAAGACAGTATCATTCAGCAAGGTATAATAAGATGGATATTCTAATAAAGGTGGGAGAAGAATCAACAGGTGCAGTGTTTTCATCAAAGGAATTTGACAGCATGTATCAAGAGTTTTACAAATATTCATACAAATGTTCAGTTAAACAGAAGAATCATGGGCTTTAAAATGAAGTAAACCTAGATTCACAATTCTTATCCACTCTATGACCCTATAACAATCCATACATAGCCTCTTTTCAAAAATGAATAAGATGAAATAACTGATGGATATGGGGAAGGGCAAGGAGTAGGGATGGGAGAAGAGACAAGCAGTAAGTATCAATAGTTACAATTCAATGTGATACATGCTTTAACATGTGCACATTAAGAGTACTAAGTGTATTTTCTACTTATTCACACTGTCATAACACTACTTCAGGATCTTACAATCCTATAAACATAAATTTAGGAACTTGTTCTTCCATACCCAACTTTTTATCTCCTCTCTTAGCCCTTCTGAGGATTAATTTTCCTAAAGCATAGTTCTGATTAACTATATGACTCAAAGACATACTTAAGTCATTGCTCCTCAATTACCTATAGAATAAAGGATAAAAGGGGAATCAGAAAGAATTTATTGAGATTGTAAAATGAGCCAAGTATTTGACAGACATCATCTTCTAGTAAGGGAGTTCCCTGATGGTTCAGATGGTAAGGAGTCTGCCTGCAATGCAGGAGACCCGGGTTCAATTCCTGGGTTGGGAAGAACTCCTGGAGAAGCAAATGGCAACCCACTCCAGTATTCTTGCCTGGAAAATCCCATGGATGGAGGAGCCTGGTAGGCTACAGTCCATAGGGTCACAAAGAGTCAGACACCACTGAGTAACTTCACTCACTCACTCAGTCTCCCAGTAAAATAGATACTGTATCATTATTCCCAATTTACAGATGAGGCAGCAGAAAATCAGTGCAGGTTATTAAGTGATGAACCAGCTGGGCAACGGTGGACTTCAGATTTGAACCATTTTTGTCACTATGCCATCATGCTCTTCTAGCTGTTAGTCGAACTATGAGACCAATAGGCATTTTCAGTCACACAACAAACTTTCTGCTAAAATAATCTAACATCCAGTCAGACAACAACAAGCACTACTTTTTCTACTTCTATTTGCCATTCATATCACTCTCTATATCTAGATATCCATACTACAATAGTTAAAATTTTATTTATTTGCACATCTTAAAATCTCAGATGTCTTTGGCACTTCTTTCTTAAATTGTCTCCTAATAGACTTCATCTAAATTCCAATTACTTAAATCATCAGTTTACTGATCAGATCATGCCACTGATTATAAATGTTCAGTTCTGTGCCAGGCATTGCAATGGGTGCTGAGAAATAAAAATAAATATACATGATCATTCCCTTTGAAGAGCAGCCAGTTATATAGCTTTAGGACAACTTGTTGAGGCTAGCTGGCAGGACAGTTATTACAAGTACCTCATGGGCTCTTCTAGGTTATAAGCAATTGGGGCACATAGATCCTGTTGTATTTACCTGTTTCTCTTTGAGCATTCGACTTATTGCCTGACACACAGTACTTAGAAAATGTTTGCTAAATGATCGAATGACAGACTCTGTTATACACTCATGTATCTTGAGTTCTATCTTGTAACTGTTTCATGATGCCTTAGATTGCGCTGGAACCCCTTTAGTGGGTTCTTCACAACACTCCTATAATGTTCTACATCCATATCTGTGACATGGTGTGAAACACAGAAACAGAGTTAACACCGACGAGGAAACAAAGGCCCAGCAGGCTGATGTTACTGGGCTGGAGGGCCAGTTGCTTTTAACTCACGAAAGTGAATACTGAAGCCAAGACAGACAAGAATGGATTCCATCCATTATATCACACTGCTTCTTAACTCAATGAATAGCTTAGTACTTCAATAAACACAAAGGCAGTTTATTAGTTTGCTCAAATCCTGTCTGTACAGGATTTCAAAGTGCATTCTAAACTTCTTTACAACACGATGGTGGTGGTTTAGTCACTAAGTCATGTCCGACTCTTGCAAGCCCAGACTATAGCCCTTTTCATGGAATTTCCCAGGGAAGAATACTGGAGTGGGTTGCCATTTCCTCCTTCAGGGGACCTTCCCCAACCAGGAATGAAACCCACATCTTTTGCATCTCCTGCATTGGCAGGTAGATTCTTAACCACTGCACTACCTGGGAAACTATTAATAGGTCTCATATGATATACAAAGTGCTTCCAAATAACATTCCAAGTAAAATCCAAAGTATAGAATTAAACAAGTGGATCAAAATATTTAAATTGCCAACATCAAAAAATCTTACCTACTAAAATTCTGTTCTTCTTGATGCCAGTTTTTACTTCATCATCAATCAAATCTGTAAGCACCTGACACATTACATCAATTGATTCAAGGTGCTCTGGGCAGTCATTTGATATTTTAAGTCTGTCAAACCATACATTGGAGATTCCTCCTTTCAAAGGAGTATATGGCCTGTTTAAAACCAAAAGAGAAAAAAGAAAAAAAAGTTAAAACTTTTTAATTTCTAAAATATTAGTGCTTTGAATTAATTACCATTTCTTTCATGTTTTAAAAGTTAAAGAATTCATATTAAAGACATTCCCATGCTCGTCTTAACTCTCCTATACTTACATTGGTTCTATTAACACTGAGTAATGCCAGTTCATCATAGTCTCTCCAACTTTTGAGTTTCATACTCTCCAGAAATTCCCAATGAAAAAAGAGTAATTATATTTTGCATATTGTGTGTGCATGTTATTTTTTCCACTCAACTTAAATGATTAATTAATCAGGTCTATGACTTCTTTAAATTTCTGCCTTGGTATACTTTAATCTTTAAGTGTAAGGATCAATATTTAAGTATTCACAGCTAAATAAATAATGGCGGTCCATGCAAAAAGTCAGGCCTCAAGAGCAGAAAATATGATTCACCAAAATGCTTTTAAATGATGGTTAGTTTGTAGCACAGAAGTTTGAAGGCTGAGTTAATAATTTAAAGGTTTCTTGATCACATCCAGGCAGATTATCTTTAGAATAGGGGTCTTCAGGTTTTTTTTTAATCAGGAGTTGGAGATATTTTATTTTTAAACCTTCTCAGAAACCTTGAAATGAAAGAATTTAATGGGATACAAATATCCACTGGCAGTGCTCTTCATACAGATATTCCAACACTGTCTGCAACACTCAATTTGGGTCTCAAACTGAGTGCTTTGCTGGACTTACAAAACATTCTATGTGCTAAGATACCCAGAGCTGGATGTCTTGTTGAACAAGATTGATATTTTAAGAAGCTTTACATTTAAATATCAGGTAGGATGGCTACAGTATTAGTGAATCTTGCTTTGGATTCTTTTAAGTATATAAGTATATGTGTGTGTGTGTGTGCGCGCGTGCATGTGCGTGCATGCACATGCATGTGTATCCCAAGGTATTCCAAATACTCTGTTTTAATCAATTACAATGGGGTTAAGGGGTCTGGTGACAAGTCTTATGTCGGTAAACGTAATTAAGGGAACTGAAACACTCTTTCAGTTTCCTGTAGCAAACACAGAGAAGTTTATGGGGAGATATAGATATAAATATGTATGACACACATGGAGAACCAATGGTTTCTCAAAGATGAGGAACAGGATAGTTGAACGAAAAACACAGCTCTTCACTTAGCAAATCTTGCTTTCTATTTATGAGACAGTGAAAAATGGGTTTATGTTCTAAGTAAGAAGGCCACAGAAAATTCAAACAGTGACAGAAGTATACACTAAAATTTGAAAGAAATCTAAAGCAATGCTGACCACAGATGCAGGGTTTCTTCTAGATCACCACTTCTATTGCTTTGCCCCATCTCAAATTAGCTATATATTCTCACCATCCAGAGTCAGTGAAATAAAAGCATAAAAATGTATAGCCAGAACAAAAAAATGGAGGGCTAAAAGACACCAGCTGAGACCTGATTGTGCTTCCTTGCATATTCTTTAGTGAAAAACCAAGTGGAATCAACTGCAAACCCAAGCAGCTAGAGCTATTCAGTTTTCATTCTGTCGTCCATGGTAGCAAAAGAACTCTGCAGTCTATGCAAATCTGACTGTGGGGAACATCCAGTTAATACTATCAATGGTGTGGTGCAGAAGGGAACGGGAGAACCATACAACTGTTGCTCTGTTTTAGTCTTAACTCTCCAAAATAAATGGATATCCACTTGAGGAACCTAAAAGTCAAGAGAAATATTCTGGAAACTTTCTCGGAGAAAGTGAAAGAAATCTAGAAACAAGAGAGTTGCTCCGACTCAGACTTGACAAGAACTCATCTGAAGAGATTCTTTCATTTACGAAAATANAAAGTCAAGAGAAATATTCTGGAAACTTTCTCGGAGAAAGTGAAAGAAATCTAGAAACAAGAGAGTTGCTCCGACTCAGACTTGACAAGAACTCATCTGAAGAGATTCTTTCATTTACGAAAATATAACTGTGTTATAAACTTCACTCTGTAACACACTTTCTACACTGTGAATGTATATTACCAGTATCTATATGCCAGCACATAAAACCCTAACATTCTTTCCTAGTTTATGCTGTGCTGTGCTCACTCACTTAAGTGGTGTCCGACTCTCTGCAGCCCCATGGACTGTAGCCCACCAGGCTCTCCTGCCCATGGCATTTTTCAGGCAAGAATACAGGAGTGGGTTGCCATTTCCTTCCCAGGGATCCAACCCGCACCTCCTGTGTCTCCGGCATTGCAGGTGGACTCCTCACCCACTGAGCCATAGGGGCCTCATTTATGCACATGTATGAAATGGTGCAAACATGGGATACTTCGTCTGCATGTGTTCTGCTCTGATGCTGACTGTCCTGCTTTTTTGTTGCTTATCTCTATTCCTCTTCTCCTCTCCCACCCCGTCACATATCTTGCCCTTCACGCTAGGTAAACTATGTCAACCTTCTCGAATATATCCCTCAGTGTTTTTCCCGCACATATATTAAAAGTTGTTTCTTTATATTGTTTTTTAACAGTGCTATATGCTTTTCAAAAATGAAATAAGCCTATCTGGTTTTCTTATGTGCATTATACTTTTCTCCTTTAACAACACCTCATGGAAACCCTTTCATGTGATGTAGTTCTTACCCATCTTTTTAAATAGCTATATAGTATCTTATAATTAAGATGCTCCATAATTTAATTGGCTACTCACTTACAAATGGGCATTTACTTGGTACCCAAGTTTTAGCCACTAAAAACAGTTCTGCATTAAACATATTTGTGTACATGTTTTTACGTACTTAGATTTTTATTCTATGGAACAGAGTTTGTGGAATAGGCCTACTGGACTGAGAGGTATAATTTGATAATTTTATCTTAATAGAGGTTTCAGAGTTGCTTCCATGAAGGTTCTAAAAATTCACTTTTCTACAAGAAAAGTCAGAGAACATGTTTTTGCCCAACGGCTCTAATTACGATAGTTAACATACTTTAAAACATTACCACTGAAAGGTAGTAACTACACCTTTAAAATCAACTTTACTGAGATATAATTTACATATATAAATGTACACCTTTTAAATACACAGTTCAAAGACTTCTGACAAAGTATTTCCATCATACACAGAATATTTTCTTTACTTCAGAAAATTCCATCCTGTCCACTTGCAAGCAAACCCTATTCACTTCCAATGCAGCCACTATAGATTAGTGATGCCTTTTCAGAACTCTATGTGAAGGAATTACTTATTCATATCATTGGTTATTTTTTCCTATTGGAATTTTGATTTTTTCTCACTAGTTTCAAAGTGTATCTGTATATTATTCACCTAAATATTATTCATTTGTATTTCAAGTATTTTTTCCAAATAGATTTCTGCATACTGACATAGGTATATAAACTATCTTTTATTAAGCCAAATCAAAGACTTCACAGTTGATATACTCTGAGAGGTATAATTTTAAATTAAACTGAATTAAATTAAACTAAAATTTTGGGTATTCTGATTTATTTAAGGTATGAGCAATTCATACACTATTACATGTAGAATCCAAGATTATCTTCTAAGATTTTTGTTTTCATTTTTACATCTAAGTTTTGAATTTTTCTGGAATTTATTTCCTGCATGATATGACCCAAGGGTTGAAATTCATTTTCTCCCCTATGTGCCAATTGTGCCTGCACTGCTCCAAAAACAAAACACCTTTTCTCATAAAGGTGAAGTTCACCTTTATGAGAATTTACCTCTGCCATATTGTAGTTCTGAAGAATCTAGTCTCTCTCGCCATAGGTTCTATAAGAGAACTAAACCGTGATGTCTAATACATTTACTACATATAATGAATGGACTTCTCCCCAAAGCATCTAGAACGGTACTAGTTCTATCCTTGGCAAAAATCAAGAAAATGACGAGTCATCTTCTGTTTTGTCACTCACTGGAAGAACTCTGGTTGTGAAAGGCTCTATTTTGTTCCACTGATTTATTGATCTACTCCTGTGCTGGGACCACACTGAGACACCACGATGGTTTTAGAGTAAGTTCTGAGGGTGAGTCAGGCGGTCCCCCCTCCCTACCATCACCACCACGTGTCTCTCAGACTTGTCCTGCCTATTCTTAGGTATCTCATCTTCTTTCTCTAAAAAATAGTAATCCAATATTTAGTAAATTTTAAAATAATTTCAAATAATCCCCCTTAAAAGCCCTTTGTGAGATTTTAACTAATATTGCATTATTGCCTTGGAATTAACATTTTATGACCTGAATCTGGGAGGAATGAAGATTTTTGCAGGATCTTTCCAGGATCTGCCACATTCTGGGCCTTACCTAAGGCTTCTCCTGCATCAACCCCTAGGCTCTCAGTGGGCGAGATAAAATCCCGCCTCAGCTCTGTATGGGGACTCCTCCTGCAGAGCCTAATTCTCCCTCATTCCTGTAGGTCTTCTGACTTCAGAAGCTGCTTGGCTCAAGACAGGGAGATAAATTGGAATCAGAAGGGGAGAAAGCATTCCGTCCACCCCTCCTCCCAGAACCCCCTCTCAGGATTAACTTTCTTAACAGGACTCAGAAAATGAAAGCAGGTGCTTTCCATATAGCATTAATGCCACCATTAGACAAAATTAAATCCCAAACCAATAAAATTGCCACTAAAACCACAATGATCTTCTGAATGAAAACAAAATACAACACTGGGGCTAAAGCCTGAATTGGATTGTGACTTATTTCTACTTCCCTTTTCATCTTATTCTATTTCTCTTAAGTGTTTACTTGTCTGTCTAAGCACTTAAATAAGGATGATATCATAGGCTAAAATATGAATCATTCTGGGAACTCAGCCATTAATAGAAAAAAATGACACTTAACTTTTTGTCTTTGACAGTGCCTTAATTAGAGATAGATGCTTCATAGAATGTAAGTTTTACCAATTTAGCAGCTTTTTGTTCTCTCAGTTCTCTAACAAAACTAATTCTGTCCAAAGGGAGATAATAAGGAAAATGTGAT